AGGAAGCAGGGAACTTGATAGAAGTATAGAAAATCATGTGTGGCCCTTAGAAGATAAGGAAGAGATGATTTTTTTTATTTATTTTATTGTCTCAAAATGCTCAAAACTCAGAGCGCCCATTAAAACTGTGAGGGAATAGACTCAACATTAAGAGAAGGAACAGCACTTTTCATTGTGTTTGCTTTGATTCATTGGCATGTGAAGTGTGAGCCGCAAGCTGATGGGGACGGAGAAAAGAGAAAATAGCAGTTTTATTGATGAATGCGTTGATCAGTGGCTTTAGTAATTTGTGTTGAACAGTGTTGGACAGAATACTGGGAGACAAGGGTCTTAGAGCTGGCTTAGTAGGCTGTTCTTTTTCTTAGGCTTTCCTTAATTAGGTGATTTATATATTTTAGCCACAATATCAGTATCTCTCAGCTAGGTACAAAAGGTATAGCTTAAAATCCTGGCTTTTCGACTTGAGGGGTTTTTGTCTGAAATTTTTATCATTGAAGTGCTATATAGGTTTATATTGGGCATACTGGCTCTTAGGTTCTGAATGATCTAAAAAAAAATCTGTGTCTGTTTTGAACTGGAGGTTGCAAAGGATATTTTGGTTCATCTTTATAGTTGCTTTTCTGGTCTTGCAAAACACCTGCTTGTGAAGCTGATACCTCACCGTGGTTCTTACCTGAACCACACTGCAGGGAACCACGGTAATTCTCCCCCAAAATCCATGTTCCTTGGTGCATTCTTATTGCTTACCCAGATCCGTATTGTTCAGAGGCTTAAAAATAATACGTAAAATATGGGCCTGTCTTCAATCTTCTTGCCTAATGACCTGCATCTTAATCTAAAAGCCAGGTTCTGTTATTTACAGAAATTGCATTGGAATTGCATAAAGGCTTTGGCGCCGAGTGGAAGCCAAACTACATCTGGAGTTGTAGCTGATTTTCCCTGACACGGAGCCTTAAGAGACTCTATTAGCTCATCTAGATTTTCTTTACCAGGCATGGGTTCCCTCTGAAGTGGTATATAATTCAGTAGTCTGTCTTAATGGAAATGAATAATAATGAGGATTGTCTACTCTCTACCACATCTAAACTGAATTAGGATTAATGTCACGATTTGTCTTTGCCCTGTTTCACATCACACAACTTTAGGCCACCACAAGGAGCTCAGTCCTTTTGAATTTGTCTTTTCGGTGTGTGTAAGCAGGGTTCTCTCTCCTTCCTGTTGTCCAGACAAGCGTTATGTGCTCGGTTTCATGGTACCTTCGCATAAGCGGTCGGCTGTTTTCGAATGTGTCTCCCAAGTGAAACACATTGTAGTGCTTGCGATGGGTATCACTGAGAAGACGCTCTAAACTGCAGACCACTGTCAGGCGGATGTGGTTGCCTGTCACCTCTTAGTCTCTTCCATGTATGTGTCTATTTGTAGGAGTGTTCCGATTTGTATGTTTATTTTCTGTTTTCCCAAGTGTGTGTGTGTGTTCATATCCTCCTCTTAGGGTATTTTGGCTGTAGCTTTTGCTGAGATTTCCTTAGTGAGGATTACCACCTTCTCCATTTGAATATCCTCAGTGAATGTGACAAATATCTCGCTTATCTTCTTTACCAAATTATTAATTAAGGTTTGAAATAGGGTTGCGAGACGTAATTTCCTCCAAAGCTCTGCGAGGACTCTCCCCACAGCTTGACTCACACTTGTGTTCCCTATTTGTGATCTTGTTCATTCAGTACCTGCCAACATAAAAACTATTCTGAATGAGTTTTTAAAAATATAACTGAGAAATTCAGTGGATCAAATGATTTGATGAAGGGCAGTTAGATAAAAATCCCTTATAAATAATAAAAATTTCATCACTGAGTTTAGTATGATATGTTCTGAAGAAACGTATGCCACTCACATTGCGTCTTCCCGAGCTGGAATATTTGTTCAGTTTGTGTTATAATTTCAGTGCTGGTTTATGATATTTAATGGATGGTAATTACCAGGATTGGGGGATTTGCCTTTACTGTTTTTTAGTTTCCTTTCTGTTTTCATTTCCATGTTTCTGTTGCTTTATATAACACTGGGCGTTCTTTTCAGGTTTTGTTTGTTGAGTGAATCATGTTCCCAGCTGTTTACAAAGTCAGGCAAATGACAGCCACTATAAACCAGTCATGCTTCACTCACCAATACCTTTTTTTTTAACAGGAGCACTGTATATTTTGTAATAAAGCCTGTTGATAGGAAAGCAGAATTGATTCCTTACTTTTTTCTTCTAACTTTACCTTTTTAAGCTTGGTTTTTGTCTCATTTATGATCCTGCTTTAATATGTGTTTTTCAGTTAACTGCCTGCATTCATGGGTCTGCAGCTATGCTCTACCCGATGTTCTGGCAGCATGTTTACATTCCAGTTCTGCCCCCACATCTATTGGACTACTGTTGGTAAGGCTATATATATGTGTGTATGTATATATATTATATATATGTATGTATATCACTTCAGATTCACAACAATTTTCACATTTCTGTGTAGTAAGTCTTAAGTCCTCTTACGATGCGACTGTTGCTCTAAAAATATATAGGCATATTAAGGAAGCAATCAACCCAGTAAGTAAAAAAAATTTATTTTCACGGCTAGATATAATTGTCTATCAGTATCTTGAAATACTCTAATATGAGTGGTTACTATGGAAGGCTGCAACTTAGATACTGTGTAAGTAAAATCTGTTTTCAGCATATCTGTGTTAACTGTTAAAATGTGAATTAAGACTCCAACAGTAGAGGACGCAATGGGGAAGACACTTGTTTTCCTGCTTTCCTGAACTTCTGTTGGGGGTGGGGGAAAGCTATTCATTTTCCTGTGATGATCTTTTATTGTCAGCATGTGCTTAGAACATGATATTTACCTTTTTTAGGGGAATGAGTATAAACCTTTCAAAACTTATTTGTTATCATGATGTGATGAATTTTGGCACAGCCCATGAGCAACATCATATAATGCCAAAGCTGGCCCTGTTTTGACCAAGAGCTTGGTCCAGTTGCCCTCCCAAGGTTCCTTCCAACCTACTCTATGATTCCGCACTGCCCGGGGGAAGCCTCCTTGTTCGCTGCTGGGGGCTCCAGGTCGGCGTGTCATTAGGCACATGTCTTGGACTCTGGGGTTAATAGTTCAGAAGCCTGTCTGCCATGCCCCTCAAACAGCCTCTCAGTTTTTACTTGCTTTTCTAGTGCAAAGCCAGACAGTTTAGCCTAATCAGAGTAATGTCATCCCTCCTGTTCTGTGCACAGGGATGGTGGATGAGTACTCTGGATAATTAACAAAGTGGAGGTTTAAGGTGCTGCTGCTTTTAGTTGCTCAGCTGTTAGTTGCTGCTACCCATGCTCAGTTTGTGTGACTTGCCCTTTTTTTTATTCCTTCCCTCTGTGTACATAGCAGGGAGATGAAGGTTGCCCAGAAAGAGTGACCTTACCTTAGGCTTCCTAGAGAAGTTAAACTTTCAAGCCCTGTTATAGAGTTAATGGAGTTGTTGCCTGGGTATGCAGGGATGGAATTAGTAAGGCCAAAGCTTGGCTGGAGTTAAACTGAGGGATGTAAAGGGTAACAAGAGGATTCTACAGGCTTGGAAGTAAAAGGAAAGCCCAAGTAAAATGTGGTCCTATTGCTGCATGGTCACGTAGTCAAGTGATGAAGGACACGGAAGAGGCTGAGGGACTCGGTGCCCTTGTCTTCACCCGCAGGGTCTACGGGCTGGCCTTCCCGGTCTCCCTGTGTAGCAGAAATGTTTGTGGGAGTGTGGTGCTTAAGGTGCTTTTGGGAATGATTTGAAAACATAGAAACAGCCTCCCTCTGCCCCCTAGCATTTTAAGAAGCCCTTCCCAGAAAAACAACAAACTTCAACTTCCTGTGTCATACAATACTATATTTTAAATGTGGCTTTTAGTGTGGAGGTTGGCTGGGGTTTTTTTAAGAGTGATAGCGTTCTGTGTGACGTTTTCTCTGCATTTAAGCAAGAGTAAGGAACCAGCCGGGATAACTAGCATTTTGAAGTGAAGTGCTAGGATCTGAAACATGTAGATTTAAAGGAAGCTTGTTCCTCTGCAGATGATTTAAATGTTAAGTACGCGCTATGTCGAGGATACACGGAACGGAATCTAAAAACTATTATCTCCTGTAGAAATGAACCTTCAATTTACTCACTGCCCAGGAAGGGCAGATTCGAGTCATTTGCACTGCCAGCAGGTGCCCTTTCTCTGCATAATGGGCTTCGCATGTGTAATTAACACATGAAGGCTGCTGCTGCCAGCTTTTTCTTCAGGTACATGCTGCTAGGAGTTTTCAGGACAACGATGTGGACCACAAGAGGCTTTTATGCTGGGTTTGAAGATTAGGTATTCATCGACTTTCTGACAAAGACATGTTAAAAGGGGCTAAGTCCAGATCCCGCAGTTGGGAGCAGAAGTGTGCAAAAAGCAAACACTCGGGCAGTGTACCCAAGGAAATAAAGACACAAGTCACTGAGCTCTACTGAATGAATTCTTTCATGGCGTAACACCCTGTCCATATAACGAATGAGCCAGCTAGTGTGTGAAAAGTATGATTTAAAAATGTGTAATTATTAGGCAGATTGCAATTGCATGCTCACAAATACAACAAGCGATTACCTTAGCCAAATATGAACTTTAATTGGAGAGGTAGCTACACACACTGTAATTGTTTGAATAAGTCAATTTAGCAACAATTTATGTGCCAAAAATATATTTCTCAAAATAGAGTCCATCTATTTTGTAACCATGTGAACTTAGAGACGTAATTTTTGCCTAGCAGGACTGAGAAATTGGCTCCGTGCTCTCTGCTTTAAGGCGCTATTATTGCTTCCTGGTGTCTGCCTCTTCAGGGAAATGACCTGAGATTTTTTTACAGTAAAAGAGATTAATTTAATTTTGATTAGGGCCCAGTTATTTCTTTTGCAAATGTGACATAAGAGTTTTAAAGAGCTGAAATGGAAAAAAAAATTTAAAGTAATTAGAATTCTCCAGTTGTTATGAATACAAAATATCATGTTCATTTAGTTGACTGTGTCCATTTATTGACTGTATGATGCTTTTGAATCTTCTTTTAAAAAAAATATATATTCCATCTGTGATTATTTGCTTTTAATCATTTGAGTTGCAGTGGGAACTTCTCATATAAAGAAAGCTTCTAGGGTCCCGACTGATGCACTGACAGCTCCATGGTTGTGAAATTTGAAATTTGTTGTATTTCCTGGGGAGGAGGGGGGACACGACAACTCTTGGGTCTTTCCGGGGCTACAAAAAGGTAGAACAGCTCTCTTCACAGAGGGCGAATGGGGAGAATAACTAACCCTCCCCCTGCCACTTGAAGATCCTTTTGGCCAACTTCATGTAAGAGAAATTTCAGGCTGGGTGTGGAGAGTTCCCGTTAGCTGTTGCAAAGCGTGCGTTCCCGAGCGAGGCAGGAAAAGGTGGGTGATGGGATATTGGTACAAGTGAATGGCAACGCTACCACAAACACGCTCAGTATGAATCTGTTTCACCGACGTTGTTAAAGTTCAAGCTTTTTCTATAGCTTTTTTGTCCTTTATTGACATTTTACATCAAATACTTTCAAAACACTGTGGTTTCTCATTTTTTCAGTTTGCTTATTGCTATTTTTTTAACTTCTAATGTGGAAGGGAGGTAATTTTCTTCCCATTTCCCTCTTGAAAGGATTTTTTTAAAACTTAATATTTATGTTCACTTGCATTCCTCATTCATGTACCTTACCATGGAATTGAAAATGCCGAACACCTGTATCTTCAGAATGTTTGTTCTGGATACGCGTGCTCTTTGTACTAGGGATGCTGAGCCAGTCATAGTGGTGTAGGACCATGTCCATGTACCTGGAATGACTTCAGTCATCTGATCCCTATCATTTACATTAACTGAGGGCAGGAGGTGGGGAGAAGCAAGGGGAAGAGTGCTATCCTTTATGTTTATTTTTTTAGTTGCGGTCCCTTCTTTGATATATTTTCAGCCCGGGGAAAGATCTTGGGTGGAGGAGACTAGAAATTGGTGGGAATCCTATCATTAGATTTCACACCTTAATGCACAATTGCTTGTCCCTTTGAATACAGAACAACAGAGGAAACATATGAAGCACTGCTGTTTGGCTTGGTTTTTTTTTTTTAAGGTTTTCTTATTTTTAAAAAAAGTACATGCCAGCAGGTGCCAAAAGTACTGGTTAATGAGACACTGCCACCAAGCATCAGTAGCCAAGCACATACAACTACTTAAATTTGGCCACATCTTGTCCATCTATTTTGATGTTGGGAATTTAAACATTTCTCGATGTGAAAGAAACAGTCTATTAATTTTCCTCACTACTTCTTCCAGTTTGTTTTTCATGTGGCATAAAAACACTCCCACTGTGTCTGTTTTCTTCCTTCTTGCACTCAGTGTCTGTGTTTAAAATTAGCCTGTAAGAAAAGCCTGTCTTTGCTGACCTGGTAACACAGCTTAGTACGTTCTCTGCGTCCCGGAGCATTGTCACTCGGGTTATTCTGCAGGCTTTTACCAGAAGCAACAGTATATTTTCTAGGGTGATTAAAACAGTCTTTTATATTAGATAGACTGCTTAGCAGCCAACATTAATATATTCTGAGAGCCACCCTCTTAGAGCACCCTGGCACAGCTGCTGAGCAAATGTTTCTATTGGTGCAGTTTTCCCTTTCTCCCGGAGTTTTTTTAACTCCCTTTCTCCTGTTTTCTAAATATGCATATAGTTCAATATGCTGCTTCCAGTAGGTGGAGGGGGTAACTGGAGGGCGAATACTCCTGCTGCTTGGCGAACAATGATTCCTCCGTCACGAGCCTCTTGGTCGGCATTTTGATTTAGCCTGGTACATCTGTGTACTTGCTAAAAGCTCTTGTAGTTGCTCTTCTGGTTTTTTAGCTGTATGTTTTCTACATCATTCCAATTTACGCAGTCAAGTTTCTAATTTGCATCAATTACCCCAATACATTTCAGATTGAATTCTGTTGCATTTCAATGAGTAATCTGAAGAGAAATCGGGAGACTGCCGTAGAGAGTAAAGTGCTACAGGAGTGAAAGAGCAGCACATTAACTCAGTATTTGTATATCAAGACATGAACTTAGTAAATGTGATCTAATCAATTTTCCTGCAACCATGAAGCAAAATGGTGCAAATCCCTGTGTAGCTGTAAACTATGAACCTTCTTGAGATCCTTGGGTTTTACATTACTTTTTCTGGTGAATTGCAGTATTTTTTAAGGCTGGGTTTTTTTCACTTAAGAGGAAATGTCCCTCTATTTCACCTGCTTCTCTTCCAATTAGTAGTTGCCCACCTCTTGGGAACATAATTAAGAGGTCTCTAGTTAGCCTAAGGAAACGAATTAAAGAAATTGTAAAAATGCAACTGTAATAAATGGGCAATATATAGCCATTAAGTCCACAATATCCATATTCATGCTTACGCATTGCTACTTTAATGATTTGATATTTACCTATATAACTCATTTGATTATAAATAACGCTGATTGCATGGGGAACCAGCGTAGCACAAGAGGAGTAATAACATTTCTCCTTGTTCCAAAAGACTTAGGCAGGCATTTTGTTGAAGCAGTAAATATGCGCAGTAGAAATTGATACTTCTTAATTTTGCACTTAATGGATATTGGCTGCCATCAAACAACTTTGAGTAATTAGTAGTTGTGGTTATAAGAAGCCCCAGGACTGATGAAGCATCAAGCAGTAGGTAAAGACTGGTCTGAAGAGCAGTCTTTAATCTGTCATGGGTCCCAGAAGGATTAAGGGTTGTGCGGAGTGTTTCTCTTGTTTATACAAGCAATGTGTCTTACTGAAGTTCACTTGAAAGTCTTGGAAATACACATCTAACCTGATAAAATATTAAAAACTGCTTGAGCGTTTCATGTCTCAGGACCTGAATAGCAGTTAGGAAGAACTGATTTGTATCAGGAGTGGTGTGGCCAGCAGGAGCAGGGCAGTGACTGTGCCCCTGTCCTGGGCGCTGGGGAGGCCGCCCCTCGAGTGCTGGGGTCAGGATTGGGCCCGTCCCTCCCAGAGGGACCTGGAGGGGCTGGAGCGTGTCCAGAGAAGGGCAGCGGAGCTGGGGAGGGGTCTGAAGCCCCAGGCTGCTGGGGAGCGGCTGGGGGAGCTGGGGGGGTTCAGCCTGGAGCAGAGGAGGCTGAGGGGAGCCCTCATCGCTGCCTACAACTGCCTGAGAGGAGGGGGGAGCCGGGGGGGTCGGGCTCTGCTCCCAGGGAAGGGGCGATGGGACGAGGGGCACCGGCCTCAAGTTGTGCCAGGGCAGGGTGAGGTTGGCCATGGGGAACAATTCCTTCCCCTTGGGGCTGTCGGGGGCTGGAAGGGGCTGCCCAGGGAAGGGGTCGAGTCCCCGCCCCTGGGGGGATTTAACAGCCGGGCAGAGGCGGTGCTGAGGGCCAGGGTTTGGGGGTGGGATGGCAGGGGTAGGGTAACATTGGGCTTGATGATCTTAAAGGGCTTTTCCAACCTAAACGATTCTATGGTTCTGTTCTCTGATTCCCTTCTGTATCAAACATGCCATTCATCCTCTGGAGCCCCTCACAGCGCGCACCGTGTCTGCCTGTCGTTCTGTGCACCAGTGCCCTCTCCCAGTGCCCCATGATCCAGTTTTTCACCTGTGTGTTAAACGTTTCTTGGAGAAATACCCAATGTCGTCTTCTGTGCTCTACCTCATTCCCTAGTGGAGATCTCTGCAACTGTTCATAAAACTAACACAAATATTTGCAAAACTAGCACGTTATACCTCAACCAATTACTGCTTCAGAGTTTCCTTTTTCATATTGATCAGCAAAACCAGAGCTATTTTTTCTCTCCGTGGGTATGCTAAACCCACTCTTTGTGCTCCCATAGTATCAAATTGTTCCTCCCACTTTCTCCTGTCTGTCCGTGTATGCTCAGTACAGCCCATTAAGCACCTGACTGGAGTCCTTTAGTAATACAAGTTTAAAGAAATAACAGCTTTTAAAACACTGCTAAAAGTCAGGTTCCTTTAGTTTTTATGCAATCCCTGTAATAGTTTTATATGCTGGATTGCCTTTACATGTAAGGTCTTTCACTAAAAATTGAGAAGATGATTCATTGCATCCAAAGCTGACCCATATATCTTAAGCTTTATCTTTCCTGTAATTCTTTAAAATTTTGTTGGGGGTACGTGGTTTAAAGGGCTTAGACATTCTTATTTTTCTTTTGTTGATCAACTGGAGGATTGAAAGATGGACATGATACAGTTAATGAACTTGTACAGGTTCAGGTTTCCCTGTGCTTGGTGACAGGCTCTACTTTTGGACACGTTAATAAATGGCTGGTTTTCTGGAATACTGCACTCTTCCTGCTTCCTTTCATTACATTAGCCAAGGTTCCACTAGATGAGACATTTGCAGTCTTAAGACTTCCTGCCGAGGTTCAGACTTTGTATTTTTGAGATTGAAGCTGTCGTGTTCATGAAACTACTTAATTAGAAACACATTCATCTCCGTGCATACTGGAGGAGCCTTGAGCAGCATAGCCAGGCACACGGGGAAGTTGAGCATTTGTGCAGCTGGCAGCTAAAGCAATGGTTTATACTTTGAATATAAAATTACCGGGTATTTTCTTGCTCCTGGAATGTGGCCATTGGAAATGAAGAGATGTGGGTGAAAGAGATAGCGTTTGTCGCAAATAAAACATGCAAAATGACAAATAAAAATACTCCGCAGTTGAGCAGCGATCCATATGCAGTAAGTGTGTATCATGTTGTATGGTAAAAATTTCTGTCCAAGAACTTGGATGTATGTCCTGGTTCTCAGCTGTGGAATTCCCAAGGAAGCAGAACCCTCAGGATTTGTACCAAGTTAGTTTTCGCAGTCCCTCGGGGCTGTCTGCCGCGTGGTGCTGTATTGGGTGACGCTTGGGCAGGGGCATCCTTGCCAGCCGAGGCCATCCAACATGTTGCAATGTGATGTGACACACGGCACTTGGGCGTTCTACAAACGAACTTGTAAGGGCTTTTCCGAAGTTTTATATGTTCAACATCTTCAAAAAGAAAGAAGTGTTTTCATGTAGAATGGATAATAGAGAGGCTGTTTCCATCTCTTCATACAGCATCCAACAGAGCAGCAGTTTTAGGGGGCACAGTAATAAACATGGTAAATATTAATACGCATAGCGGTAAATATTTTTTTTAAAAGTTATTTGTTATGAAAATGAGAAGCAGAGTGATTTTTTTGCTGGTCTGGTGTCTTGCAGTAGTTTTTTCAGCACCATACTTCTCTTACTGAGCAGTAGGCACCAGTTTATCAAAGCAATATGGAAGATATTTTAATCTAAGGCAGTACAGTGACATTTCTCTCATTTTTTTCATCTGAAATTGAAAATGAGCTCTTTGAGCTTCTGTATCCAAAATGAAATGAGGCTCTATTTTAAAAGTTGTGTCTGTCTGCGTGCTTTCCGTTGAACAGGCAGTATATGCCATATTTGCAATTAGCAGCTTTGGCATCCTCTGCGATGTGTTCTAATAAGCAGTGCAAATATAAGCTTTCCCTGATGAGTTGAGTGGGAGTCCTGTGTAATAAGCTTAATATTAGAAATACTGTACACACAGAGATACAACTTTCATTCAGTATTCTTCTTGTGTTATATAGTCCATGTTGGTGTATGCTAACATCATTAAAGAGAAAAGATCAATCTTGCTCTTAAATGTTAGCGTTCTGTTTGATAACAGGAGTATCACACCTGTGTGTGAGGCTACAAATTGGGTCTAATTGCCTCTGGGTATATTTCAGTTTTGTGTTCTGAAGGGAATTATGGTATCAGCATATATCCCAGTAACTCTAGAGTTTAGCAGAATCTTCAGAAGTAATTTGTATATTTTGCTCTTATAAATGTAAACATTTCAAGATTTATACTTAAAAATAAATTGTCTAAAATATGTCTGGAACCATATTCAAAGGATTTAAAACTAGTGGTACCAGGTGATATGTATACATTAAATTAACCACTTAGCACTCCAACAGGATCAATTTTTCTAAAGAATACTCTTAGACAAAGTGTGGGTATTTTTTTTGAAAATTGTAATAACACATTTAGTTTGGTTTTTTTTAAAAAAAAAGACCCCAGTATTATAGATATGTTTAATTGTTGTTCTTATGTACCTGTCTTAACTTAGTCACTTAGAAATTCTGATGTCAAGCAAAATTAAAGTCTTACAGTAGTGAGAGGATATTGCATAATGAGTAAAATTTTGTTCACGTGTGGTTTGTTTATATATATGTGTACATTTTATTTTTTTAAGCAAAATCTAATCCAGTATCCTGGTATTTTCCTGTAGCTAATTTTATAAGTCATACGTGTTAATCCAGTGTTACGAGAACATAAAGCTAGGTTTTTTTCCTCTTTGCAGTGCCCCAATGCCCTACCTCATTGGAATACATTTAAGTTTGATGGAGGTAAGTCTTTCTCACCATTTCTGAAACTATATATAGATTTATGGTACAGAGCCAAATTCTGCAAGCAATTATACATTCATTCATATGCTTAAAAATGCAATAATCCTGTTAATTTGAGAGTGCTGAGAGAATTGAGGTTAAGCATCCACGATAACGTTAAATCTCAAGGGAGCCCTGTTTGGTACAGTGTACTCCTTGGGCACACTTTCCGTTTGCAGTTCAGCAGTGACGAGCTCACGTTGTGTTCCCCTCTCCATCCTGTTGTTTTATTTAATCAGTTTACTGCCGTAGCTTGACTCTGTATTCACAAAGGCAGAGTCGATATTAAACGAAAATGTTGACAGTTACAGTTCTCTTTTAGGCTTTTGCAGACAGATTGTAATTTTTTTAATGTTCAAAAGATCTGAAAAGAAGGAACTTGCTGTTAATGTTAACACAAAGCTGGCAGAAAACCAGCCCTCACAGAAAGCTTCACATATAAACAATTCAGAGTAATTCATGTGACTTTTAAAAACTCTAAAAGTGGAAATAGCACATTTGCTTTTGCTTCCAGTACTGGTGAAACAGTTGATGACTTTCCTCAAAAGTATTGGGAGGACAACATAAGCCATTAATTTAGATCCCTATGAAAGTCCTGGTGCTTATTAATTGTGCCCCTTTACCCAGGAGGCCTGAGCAACGTGGGTATGCTCCGTGGGGAAGAGGTATTCCTGCCCGGAAAGCGTCGCCTCTGTGTAGGCTCTCAAATGAGCAGGCAGTGTTGAACTGGTGGGAGTTGCAAACGCCCTTGGAAGTGAATTGCCTCGTGTCCCTGCTTTACGTACCTGTGTTTGGAAATTTAGGTTTAGTGTTTAGGACACCTAACAGTTTACAATGCTGAGTTTTACATCACCTGAAGCATATTACTAGAATACTACTTCTTATGTTGTCCATAAAAATGTGTAACTTCTCTGGAAATATTGATCAAACGTATTGTTTCACTAGGGCATGTTTATGTAGTAATGGTCCCCTGTGTCTCTGTGTATTAGACTAACTAGTGTGCCGTGTAACTTCCCTGTTTCCAGCATTAATGTGAAGTAATTTTAGAAGTCACTTTTTTCGTGAGAAGCTAGATGGAATATGCAGGACCTCTTTTTTTTTTTTCCTTTTTTTTTTTTTTTTTTCCTTACCATCCTGGGTACAGATGATTTTTTGTGCCCTTTATATTGCTAAATAAAGTACAGAATTGCAGTACAATGTGTTAGTGAATAAGCAATTATTTTAAAAGTCAACATGTACATTTGTTTGCACGTCATATGCTTATGTTAGAAGGGTTTCTGATAATTACCCTTGAATACTGCATGGGCAGGACCAAAGTAATATCTAGGAAGAGACAGTCTAGCATGTATTTTTCATACTGATCAAGAAACTTTCTACCCCACATCTGTGCCAGGTAATCATTGGTGTGCTTATTGCTGTGGCTATCTATTTGGAAAAAGAAGGACGAGACCTGGTAGAGGATGGGATAATACCTCAATACAGATGCTTGTCAGCTTCCACAAATATTTTTGCTCACAAAGAGCTACATGATTGGCCTGGCAATGGGTGTAGAAAATTAAAAATGACACCCTGGAGTTGCTTTACATGATGTCTCACTCCTGCCTTGCTACATGTACCCATTACTTCTTCCTTTGTCTCAGTTTTTCAGACTGCAGGGCTCTGTAGGCCTTCCAAACTCCATCTGTAAAAACTTGAAAAAAGGAGTTGTTCTTGGAGAAGCCAATTTTCATCCATTTTAGTAACTTGTGAAAAAATCTGTTTAGTACTAAATCCAGTACGGCTTTTGAATAGCCGGAGATTCTGGAACACAGACACACTCTGGCAAAGTACAGTTACTCAAAGTGCCTTATGAAATAAATTAAATAAATAAAACAACCTGTCTTCTCTCCTCCCTCTGCTCTTAAGGATAAACTGAATACTTGCAGATAGAAATGCATCTTCCAGCTAACTGGGCTTTTTCCACTGAAAAATAAAATCGCACCGTGGGCCATTGTATCTGTCTGTTGGCAAGCACTGCATAGTTTCTGTGTGCCTTGGGCAAAGGAAAGGTGACATTTGTCAGATGAGCTGGATGGTTACTGGGTTACCTCTTTGCCTGTTTCTGATGCCGAAAGCTTACTTTCTTTGTCCTTTTCTTCATACGTAGGTATAAAATTGTGTGTTTTATTTGTGAGAATAAAAACTTAGTAGCAATGGCAATTTTTTTCTCATGATCTAGCAGTTGGGTATTTTTATAAAGAGGTATTTTTATAAAGATAATATATTAATTTTTCCATATCAAAATAACTTTATAAACTACAACTAAAAGCTACTGTCATTATTCAGCATTCATTTTTCATTAAATGCTGACATTTCAGCAGTAGATCTTTAAAAGTGTTTTGTTAATCCATGTGTTCTAGTTTCAGGATAAGGGATTAATTCCCCAGTCTTCTATTCAAGTTAAGACAGGTGGACTCTTTATCTACTGTAGAGCCCCACGGGAGTAATTGCGGTTATATATGGGCTCACGGTTCTGCTCCAGCAGCTCCAATTGCAGAATTTGTCATTGTTGCGTAAATGTTAGCGGAGGCCTGAACTTGCGCAGAGAAAGCTGCGGTGTAAAGGGGAAGGCGAATTTGGAATGTAGGCGGAAAAAAAATAATCCTAGCTTTAGTGTTGTTTCTGTGGGTTTTTGCTATCCCTGTCTTGGAATGGGTCCCCTGGAAGAAATATAGCAGAAATGTTAATGATTTTAAACAAAATACAACCTCTCTCTCACCTCAAAAGAGTTTTTCCAAACCACTGTGTAGCTTAAAGTTAGTTTGCAGTTTCCCATGTTACACGGTCTCTGTAGAAGGAGCAGTTATTTTAATGGAAAATGACAAATTTTTCTTATGATTAAAATATCAAGCATATCCATTGACTGTTAAATCTAATTTGCTGTGACTGAAATGTTCTCCAGTGAGATAAGATAATCTCCTGTTATAGGTCAGAGGGCTCCAACTGATTTATGAGGGAAAATCTTGGTAGAAAATATAGAGCTGTGTTTTGTGCTCTTATTTTTCAGCTTTTCTATCATCACCTAGTTAGTCATTCTTTATAAGATTTCCATTTAGCAATCCATAAAGTGACTTCAAAGAAGGCTAAAAGTTTATAAGCTGTTGGATAAGCAAGGCTGGAGCTATCCCATGAATAATGGAACATGCTTACGGAACTAATTGAATTCATATTAGATGAAGATAAGTACTTAGTACTGATAAATAATGAGATAGGAAAATGAAACTCTATCAAATGAACACATCCCTTTCATAATCTTGTTTTATTTTCTACCTGCATGCTGTCTGCTATTTTAGTGTTCAAACAATATTAAATTGACCTTTGTGCTGGTAAGTGGTGTCAAACTTAGCTGGCAGCCTTTTACATTTTGTCATAGTAAACGATTGTTTCAGCAACTGTTTCTGCAGCAAAGGTTATTGGTGCAATGGCGCTGATGGAAGAGGAATGCCCTTGACCTAGTAGACTGCCTAGTGGAATTCAGGCACATGTGGGTTTGATTACCCATTTGGGATAGTTCTGCTTGGCTGCCAGATACCACGCTGCTGGCAGTACCCTCTTCCGTGCCAGGCTTCCAGTCGCTCAAGTAACAACAGTGCCCATGCTTCTCATGCTCTGTTCGGGGCACAAACCCAACTTGTAGAGTTAAAGTTACTGATTAGAAAAGTATTTTTTACACTCTTTTTTAATATTCCAGTCACTCAAGGACTTTTTCTGGGACTTCAGAATTCTAATTCTTGCGAGATTAACCAGATTGCATTTGTTAGAATGATTTTCGAACATTTTTCCTAAGCATAAAGGACAGTTGTGCGTACCAGAAAACCTGTACGAGCAGATTTTTGTTTTATTTTAACCTGTTATGCGTAAATATGTTCATGTTAGGGAAAGTTAGTTCACTAAAATTCATGCTGTCTTCAATACGCTAGGACACGGCAGGTGATCTCACTTAACGTCGATAGTCTCTTCCTTATGCAGACGGATGAGTGGAAGGCTGTGTGTTCGGGCCCCTGGAACCCGCGCCCATTTTCTGGAGTCCCTTGGCATATTTACAGGTCTTCTTCAGGTAGCCGTGAGGATGCTCTGGGAGTGATCCAGCCCGATAACTCACCAGTTAGCGTGCATGGAGTCTGAGCTGATGAGCTTTGAGAAACGGGTTACATCAGCTTGGGCTTGGTCCTGACGGTGCCGCGTGGCTTCCCCTTGCCGCAGATGACACCCTGAGGATTCATTGACCGCTGGCATCTTCCAGTGGTAGTGTTAATTGTTAATTATATTTTTTGATTGGGGTGAGGAGCAATATTTAGCTTTTTCCATTCATTTATACTTGGTATACTTAGCCTTTCCTAGCTATAGCTGAAGAAGTGTAGCTTTATTACAGGGTTTAAATGAAGGGGTTATATAGGTACTTAAATCCAGGTCTTAAAAAAACGAAATCTAATTTAGTCACTCACAAATATTATAAATATGGTTGTACATGGTGTCAGGAGTACTGATAAAGATGCATTTAAAAATATGACAAATTGCTTACGGAATTGTCTTTTATCCAGTTAGTGGAAAAATGAAAATAATAACTGTTTGAATACGAGATTCTGTGTGGGTGGGTGGTTGAGGGGTAAGTTTAAAGAAGGACAAGTCCTGCAGTACCACATGGACTTACCAGTAAATGCAGAAGGTTTTTCTTCTGTTGTAGAAGCGTTAGACCAGCACCAGTGATGTTTGTCACTCAGCTGGCAGCAGCTGCTTGTGATAAGGATCTTGAGCATCACCTGAAAAAAAAGAGCGGGAGATGCACGGGGGGCAGCCGCCCACCTGCTGTGCCCAGATCAAAGGGTTGAGAGGTCAGGGGGCACATCCAGCTTAACCAGATTTGTCTGCTGAATAGCTATTTCAGATTGTAAATCTAAGGGTGATTTCATTAAGTCCTTCTGGCTGCTGTTGGGGCATGAAATAATAAAATTTTATATCCGTTGCCTTTCCTGCTTCTGGCAGCCAGATTGACACATTGTTGTCTGCAGTGTTGTGGTGTTTTTCTTAAGAAAATAAATGGAAACTATTAACTAAGTAGAGACAAGTCGTTAAGCAAATGGATTTTAGAGTTGTTGTGAATCATACTTTCATAACAATTTCAAATACAATGTCCAAAGTAGCTACTAAAACTGCTAGGTTTTGTTATGAGTTTTACCTCTCCAAAAGGACTAGTGGAAGGTACATTTTCTTTTTTCTGTTACATCATTTTTTTAATATGTCCATCACATTTGTATCTGGTTATGAAACCTCATGATCAACTTGGTTTATGTTTTGGCACCAATTTAGCCATGAAGTTATGCAAGCCCAGTTTTTGAGGGGGGAGAGGAAGGTGGCGTGTGGGGGGGGTTGTTTTTCTTTTTAAATTAACTATTAAATAAAATTGTTCATCTGAAAGAAGTTTAACTTCAGGTTTTTTTATGGTAGGAAATGCAAAAGCTGCCAACTGTAGACAGTGACAATAAAATAACATTTAGTATAAACTCATGTTAGTATTATTGATGAATATTGTTTCTAGCATGTGGTCTGAGTGAGACAGAGGTGCACCCCTTAATACTTCTGTTAGAATAAAGTTTCTCAGTGTTTTTGCAAACTTTCACATAAAACATTTAAATTACTTCGAGTGTTTGGCTGCTTGTGAGCAGGACAGACACACTAACTGCTGCTTATTTACTGACCTGGTGTTTAAGGCCCCCTGGAGTTTGTTTGAAAAGTTAAGAGATTTTCACAGTAAAGGTGCCATTTCTGAAATTTAAAGTGCTCTTTTCACCAGGAGATAAGTTCTCTCTGATTAAGTCAGTAATTCTTACTAAGCCATGTTTATAGAGGCCATAAACAATGGGTTCAGTGTGCTTGTTAAACCAGCTTTCCATACCTCTCCACTCTTTTAAAAAGAGACATTTAAAATAAAAGGCAGGTGTAGATGTTAGTTCGATTTGATGGTTTTTACATGATTAATTATGGCTACAAGTAATTCGGTAAGGATGGTTAAGAAAGGTTTGCAGTAGTGATATGCGATGTACATTTTCACCAAAGCACTTCTTTTCACTCAGCAAATCCCTGGCCTGTAGTAAAATTAGGTAAGGAAACTGTAACGTTCGTATTTGCTATTGTTCTTTGCTTCTCCACATTTTTTTCAGCAAAATATGAACATACTGAATATAGTCCAGTCTGTTTAACAGGTATCACTTTACTTGTAAAATCTCATTTAGATATTCAGGAAGCTGTGAACCATGGAATGCGACTGTATATGGCTTAGGGGCTATCCCTTCATATTTCGAGAAAATTATGACAACACGCAAACTGTACCTGTGAAAATTATCTATGTGTAGTTGTGATTTATAGGGTCCAATGAGATTTAATGTGAGAAATGCAGTTGGATGCTGGGAATTTTTGCTAAAATTCCAACAGGAGAGTAAATTTCCAGGTCAGTTGGGCTGATAGGTGCTATGTTTAGCAACAGAACCATTTGATTATCTGACAAAAGACCTTATAACTATAGGATAATACCTTTATCAAAGATTATAGTGAAAGGAAAGATGATAAAACCAGATAAGGATTAAGATGAACTGGTCAGTCTTCATTTCTCTAGAATGAGCCACAGTTCAACCATTGAAAAATTTTATTTTTTCAAATGCATTGCGGGATAGATGCTATAAATCAAGTTAGTCTTGAGCATTTTATTAAATTTGAGGGTTTGTCTCCAGGGAAATCCACTGTCTTAATACAGATACTGAAAAGTTTTAAAGATTGTGCTTTTCACAGTGTAAAGGTGTAGCGCAGCAGAGTTTAATATTAGCTTCCCTTTTAGGTACAATTATTTCTGGGCCATGTGTGGAGATGATTACGTTCATCAGTATTTATAGTCCTTGTACTGTGAGCAACATCCTTTTGTACTGGCAGATATCCGCTTGTCATGAGCCTATTCTTTGCTACAGAACCCCCCAACATTTTGCTGAAGGGAAGGCGCAAATTGATCGCCGAAGTTACAAAAACACCCATTGACAAGTTCAAGCACATGCTTGTTGCTTCTTTGGCAAGAATCAAGAGAAGGTTTTAATTCCTTCTGTCTTGTCCTACTAGCACTGGGTTTTGACAAGCTTCTGGCTTTGGTTAAGTACATTGCAAGACCTTTTTGTTGGAGTGTTTTAGAGTCCTCTGAGTATAAGGGAGATTTTTAATTTTCTGAAACAGGAAGGAGCAAATCAGTTTGTCTGGTGCTTCCGGACTCCTAGAAGGAGCAAGACTCCTGGATTGCTTTAGAGTTTATCAGATGCAGCCAACAGAGTGACCTTTGGTTCCTGAAATGTGGAGGAAAGTACCTGGTTTGTCATGTAGTACTTGTGCTTTTTATATGGAAAGCATTAAATGTAATATTCTTCCATTTCAGTTAAAGAAATTCCTCATGGAAGACCTAAACTTAAACATCTATGAAGTGTTTTTTTATAGTTGTTGGCTTTTTTCTCCCCCCTAAGTACAGAGCAGTTTTCTTTATAGACAGAGGACTGAGCCTTGAAAACTGAAGGTAATTATTTAGATGCCTAAGGCTCAACTTTGCCATTGTTTTAAAGCTCTAGTTCCTTTCTTTTAAAGGAAACAATTCCCCCCACCCCCCAAAACCTTAATTAAAAATTGCGTATCTTTTTGTTCATTTTCCTCTTCAGTAATTTCCATTTGCTCCGATGTATAGGTACATAGGTACTTAAAGGTTTGTTTATTCTACAGTTCCACTTTTTCTGATTTTTAATTTTCAAAGCTTTATTTGAAGAGGGCTTAAATACGTATGATTAGTCAGTGAAAGACAAAACAAGGATTCAATTCTCCTGTTAGTGGAAAAAGTGTTAAATATTTAAATGCTGCTCTGTTTCATATCAGTGATTCATTTACTGTTGTTTAATCAGGGACAGTGGTTAAATTTGCGTAGATCGCCGATACCTTTAGTCACTTACAGTCAAAGGCACTAATGACCGTTCTTTTGTGAAATAGGTTATGCTGTTCTTCTGTATGTCCAGGTACTGCTACAGATGATGTAAACACTCACACTGGATTAGAGGAATTTCTTTCTCTCAATTCACGGGAACAGGATGAAAAGTTTAGACTCGCTGAACATTAAGAGACCAGGATATGGCAGTTATTTTTCTCTTAGCTTTTCTTCATTCTAGTTATTTATTTAGTAACCTCTGGTAGTATCCATTTTACTTAAATACAGTTGTAAAATTATATCTCTTAGAGTTCCAAAATTCAACCTGGAATTTGGAAACCAGTTCCCATTCCTGAAGTCCTAGAAAAGTTGCCGTTTAGTCTTATTTGAATTAATTTCTAAATATAAAAAGATATACTTGAAATCTTGACTCGGCTAGAAACTGCTGAATGTGCAAACAGGATACTGGAATTAAGATAAACATTAGTAGAGGTGCTTGAAATAAATCTTTGCTTGAATAATCTCAAACAGTAACTCTCTGGTTTCAAAAATGTCAGTATGCACAGTGTTAAGAACTTCCATCTGCAAACTGAAGGTTAATTTTTCAACGTTGTAACGTATGAATAAATAAACCAAATGATGACAGAAAGACAAGAATGTTGGTTGTTTTGAAAACGCTTGAGGTTTTGTAATGCCATGATGCTATGCCATCACTTGTGTGTAAGGTTTAGCTCTGCATACTTACATTTTCTTTTCCCTTTTCTTGAATTTGCCCATATTTAGAAAGTAAGAAACATGGCCCTGGAAGATGTGGTGATTCTTAACGTAGACACCAACACACTGGAAACCCCTTTTGATGACCTTCAGAGCCTTCCTAATGATGTGGTATGTATGAAATGATTTATTCAGCGATTTCATTACTTAAAAGTGTAAATCCTTTTAACCTGTTCGGTTTGAACTGAGCTGTCTTATTGTGTTGCTCTTGTTATTGTAAGTAAACTGCTTTATCTCAAGTCTTTCCTGTTTTGAAGTGTTCAGCAATGTTTGTTTGAACATTTGCAGTCATATTTTTAAGCCTCCTAATGAAAATTATCTAATACTCACATAAGGTAGAAATGCTGCAGCAGCTCAGTTTCAGTTTTGGAACGGCATGATCAAGTTTCATCTGGAGAGTGTCTTCTATAGGGAAAAAAAAGATAAATGAAAACCACACAGGTTATGGTACATCTGAGCAGAAAACAAAAATTTTAACTTCTTTCTTCGTGGCGTGCAAAAGCAGTACTATTTGAAACCATTTTTATCCATTTGGCAAAAAAAAAGGAAATCCTGCATTTCTAAATTACTTTTATTTTCAAATGGCCTTTTTTTTCCCTCCTGTGACTTCTTCCAGGTGAGTTTTAATGAACTTTACTATTTTATATCCTGAACTATGATATCAAATGGACTACTTCATATTCACTTCTATGCTCAATGCATATAATTTGGAACTTATTTTCCTTCTCACTCAAACTTTTAATTGATTATTTAATTATTTTTTTAATATCTTGATAGAAATGTTGTATAAATACTTGATCTTTCCCTTTAATGAGACAAAAATACATCCAGCTTGCTACTTGCTGCTGTAATCACCTTCACTAAAGAAGCTGAGAGGGAAGAGAAACAGCGGGGGAAAATCTGGATTCCTTTTACTAGTTCAAAATATTGTGCTGACAGTTAGATCTATACCTTTTTATGTGTACTTGAGAAATAAAATTGATATGCAGGGAGCTCGATATAAGCTGGTCTGTTTGAGGAAAAGCTCAAGCGATGGTGAATACCCAGTGCCTCCTACTGTGACATCCCGTCATTTCTCTCTGATCGGTGGTGTGATCCATTCTTCGAAAACAGTGAGCTGGGGATGAAAGGTCCATCTTGATTGTGAACATTTTGGCTTTAGTCAAGCACTTAGTCTATAAAAGTTACTTCCATGAATTTTTCTGGCTTTATATAGTTTTTCATTTTGATTTCACTCCCAGCATCCAAATCTGCCAGCTGGTCACCGCTCGTGCCATTATCCACAACCCGGGGAATGACAGACTTGTAAAATTCATGGAATTGTGTAAGAAGCGTCTGGATGTAGCAAGCGCGGGGCCTCAGACATGGATATGATTTGTCAACAATCGAGTATTATATTAGATTTTATGAGACTTCATTAAAGGAGCTGTTGTAGGCGCGCTGTAGAACATCAGAAGAGACTTCACCAATAAACACAGAACTTCAAGCTTTGGAATGTAATAAATTTTAAGAGACTTCCTTCCTTTCATTATTTACTTTTACTTCACTTTTATAACAGTAGAGAGTTGTGTTTTATTAGTTCAAATTTCTTGATTCAGTTTTCCACAGGTCTATTTAAAAGCTGCATTTTATCTTGGAGGATGTTTGGAGCGTAGCAGAGGAAGTGCTGCCAGCAAATTCAATTAACTGGCATGGCTCACAAATAAGCGTACATGGTGTATTTTTTTTCACAACTGCTATATAAATACAGCTGGGATTAATATTTGTCGCAACAAAGCCTTAACTTGAATCGTGTTGCGTTGTGTAATTAATGTTTGGGATCAGTGTTTATGTCTTATTTAGCTTTGTTTCATTATTTTCGTTACCTAGATAATGAAGTATTCTCCTCTAGGTCTTTTCCTTTCCTTCAGACTGCTTAATATTTGGCTTTGACCACTAGAGAGCAGCTGCTCTTCTTTGCAAGAATTGAATTTCTGTTAGTTCTTTCATGCATCATGTGTTTGGAACTGTAAGTGGATCAAGTTGTTCATCTCAGCAGGGAGACTCTAAAGCCAATCCATTATACTTTTTTTTTATTTTCCTTTTTTTTTCCCCTTTTGCTTCCCTGGGAGGATGAGGCGATGCTGGGAGTGCATCTCCCCACTGGTCGCTGTTTAAACAGATGCATTTATGATCTGAGAAACTAAACATGTCTTAGGGGTTTCATGATCATAAATGGCTGCTGCGTCAAACTGTCCTGCCAGTTTTGCTACCTGATGTGAACAGTGAGCAATTCATGCACTGCTGAATTGACACCAAATTTACTTTGCTAAATTAAATCTCTCTATATTCAACAGTGAGGAGAAATATCATCTGTGTGTGTTGCATTTGCCATCAGGTAATTAATCCAGTGGAAAATTTTTTAAGCTGTTTTTTCCCCTCTCCTCGAACAGCTCGTTTAATCAAGTAACACAATGCCATGAAGTCCTATGATTATTTTACAGCTTCAGGTAGTGAGTTGTGCTTGAGTTCCGTGGTAGGCATGTTGCTACCTCAACTGTTGATTCTCAGAAATCCAGAACACGCTATTCATTAATCTTTTACTCCTAGGATCCAAACGAACATAGGCTGTAGTGAAATGCCTTTCCAGTTAACATTTGTGTCCCAGGAGCTGGACAGCACTGAGGCAGTTCCAGCAGAATCAGCTTAAATCATTTCTTTGCCCCGGTTTACCTCGGCAGTACCTGCTAGCAGTCAGGCTTCCTGAACTGTTCAGTCCGATCCCTGAAAATCAAGGTGTGTGCTACTGCGTTACTGATGGACTATTTGAAATGTGAAAAACTGCCCCTCCTTCACCTTCTGCTTCTGCTACGTTGCTGAAAATCTGGCAGCATGAGAACGCCCTGGGAAGTAACTTTCCTTTTAAAATAGTGAATATTAAAAAAAGAGATTTATTAAGGACTGTGATTACAATAAGTGCATCTGCTGCTGACAAGTCTCCTACACCACCGTCTGTGTTGCAAGGAATAGCAAAGAGGGGGTAGTAATTTTTTTTTATGCAACCCTTATGGATTTTTCATGTATTTCCAAATAAGTGTCATCTTCTAGTCTTAGTTGTAGTCAGAGCTTCATATTACAAGGGATAAAGCATAAGCTCGCTCTGTCAACTTGTAGTTTTTATTAAATGAAGCCCTGATGCAATGCAGCGTGCGCCAAAGAGCTCTTGCATATCTGATGGCTGTGAGAGTATTGTAAATTTGCACTAGCCTATGAATATCTTAGGCTGTCAGTAATTTAGTTGTATATGCTCCTGTTGTCCATTCATTAACAAGTTACCACAAGTAGGAAGCCTGTGTTACTATTTTTCACTTAGTGGGAAATTAACTGCTTTCAGGACAGCAAGAAGTACTAAACTACAACTCTATAGCAGAACCATTTTCTTAAAGGTGAATCCATTTTTATTTCTTACACTGTGTTTGCAATAGAATGTTTCTTGCTTTATTCATGTTGACAACTGAAAAGCCTTGGACCTAATTAAAAGAATTTCCACTAGCACCTTTACTGAACCATTTCATTATGCTGCATTGCACAGATTGCATTTTGAAACATGGTGATAGTTTAAATCTGACCTTTAAACCTGAACTGCCAGAAGTATAAAAATCTTCCTTAAAAACACTCTCAGGGTAGACTGCATGTATATGTGTCTGTTTGGCTAGAAATAATCTTCATATTGAGTGGTCACAGTCTTGGGGTTTTTTTCTTTTAAAATATTACTGACTCTTTAGGCAGGAAACAATCATAATTCTGCGTGTATAATCTACTTTTATCTTATGTACTAATTTATTCCAGAGTAAACAGGAATTTTTTTCTTACTTGTTAGTCTCTTTAAACATATTAACATTTTCTTTTTTAAAAAAACTGTGACATGCCTATTGCAATAGTCCTAACTGAAAGCATAAAAGTGTGCATTTATAAAACAGGCATCCTACAGCCTTCGACTTAGTCTTAGAAGAGAGCAAATGGTCTGAAAGCTTAAGGGATTAGGAAAATACCTATCAATATTCTACTTCTATACCAAATAGGGAAGCTGAAAGGCTGTGCCTTGCCTTCTGGACTTTTAGTTTGTTGTAAAATGAAGCATAGAGAGCCTTTTCCTTCTGCATAGATGGCAAGTTCTTTATCTGCCCATGAGCATGTAAAGAAAACCGCTTGTAAAAATGTTTGGGATTGATTTGGAAGTTACTTAGAGCTGTAGACATTTTATTGCATTTTTAAGAACTACCTGTAAATGGTTTGCATAAGTTAATATAGGAAATAAACACATACTTCATCACTACGACATCAGGCTCCTTCAAATCTGGAGAATTGGGCTGCTGGGGTTTGAAATCTGATGAAGCTTTTACATTTTGGAATAACAGAGCTCCTTGAGAGACATTATCTCAGTGAATAGGAGTGAGCTTATTTTATGGGCATGATAGACTAAGTCCGTTATCATGTGTTATGTTAATATGTGCTTATGGGCTCATTAATGCACGGATCGTTGCCATAAGCCATAGCATTCAGATTTATAAACAACGCTGGACACGCTCTTGATTATTTCTGTTATACTAAATAACTGTAATGAAAATCCTTCTACAGCAGAAGCTGCAGAAAATTTAAAGTAAAAGGAAATCTCTTTGCAATTGTTTTGGTAAACGCAAGTGCAAATGAAACACCTAGTTTTAAAAGAAGAAGATGCAGTGCACATTATGGATTATATATTTAACACCTATATAGCAAGATGAGGAGTCATGTTCCTGCCCTCCCCAAATCTAAGACTACAGCAGGAGGAGGTGAGGGATGTGTTACAGGAGGGGTAAAACTACCGTTGTTCAGTAAAATCAGCCTGCCATTTGCTAGTAAGGCAGGCTGGTAGCAAAATCCTGAGGCAGAAACGACTCACCTGGTGGGATTTTGGAGACAAGGATGAGGCCAGAAGAAGCTTTTGTAAGGAGCTGGAGGATGGGGGGAAGGTCTTGAAAATTAATTTGGACATTTGAACCATCAGCTTATATTTTATGAGGTGTTACTCGTACTCTCAGAATACACAGTTAGTTATGGTCACTACAACAGAATCTGCTTACTCTCTAAATAACATTCCTACAACGTTTCTTGCATAGTGTGAAGTATATAGAGCTACCCCAACAGAGGTTTTCAGAATAGCATTTGAAAAAGGAAGATTTGCTAGTTATTGATAGAATTATTTCTGTTAAATTCATAATATGGGTGTTTCTGGAGTCATTCGTGTTCTTCTGCAAATCAAGATGACTAGGGGTTTCCTGGCCTTCTGCTTTCCTTCTGAAATTGTGGCTCCTTCCCATCTTGCGCGTAAGGTATCTCATCAAACATGGGTTTTGCACGTGACATGACCTCTAAAAGCACTATCTGAATTTCTTTCAAGAATCAGCGCCCAGACTGTTGGGTTTGTATTGCTGTGTTGTGACAGAACTGTCTCAAAAACTTACCTTGTCCTGGTTCTGTCCGCAACACCAAAAAATTGCTACTGGCATAACCATTTGTTAATGATTTAACGTAACCTATAGCCGCTGCAGCACAGGCACAGCAAGCTCGATGTTAATCGTTGAAAGGTATTTTTATCTCCTTTCCCAGCTTGTATTTGGGAAAAAAAAATCCTGTCACTAACAATAATCTATAGATGCACAACCTTACTTCAGTAGTTACTGAGCTCAAAGCACTAGAAAAGAGACAGCAAACTAAGTCACAAGCTTCTTGTGTGTGAGCAATTCTGAGAACAGGAATGGATAATCCTCTGAAACTTTAGCCCCTGGTGCACACAGAAAACAAAGAATACTCGGGTGACCTGGATCCTGGTAGTTTTAAGTCTGCCTGCATAGAAATGTGTTTAGCTGATACTTGCTAAGTTGTGATCGGTAAGCGTCTGCGCAAATGGTAATGGGACCGTTAGGGCTGTGTTCGCCTAAAGTGCAGCTCTGTGAATCCTGAGGTAATTAAACACCTCCACAGTGGAAGGGAAAGGGCAGAGGGGGTTGAGAGAAGAGCCGTCCCGCGCACAGGTGGTTTAGATCTCTTGAGAAACAGGAAGGGAAAAAAACCTTCAGTGGATACTGACCAGTTTGAAGGACAGAATATCACTGCTAACTGGAGACTTGGAAAAACCGCAGGTTTTTGTTTCCTGGATTGCATTGGGTGTCCGTGGCGAGGCGTTGGCAGGGAGGCTGTGGGGCCTCTGTGAGGAGAGGCCGGGGGGGCCGGGGCAGGGCTCGGAAGTGGGCCCTGGCAGGCCCATCGGCGCCTCTGTGAAAGCACACGTAAGAAAGGGCAAAACACCTCGTGGCTGAGTGAGGAGCGAGTCCACGTGCGAGGAGGAAGGGGCGGCAGAGAGGAGCTGGTACGGACAGACCGCGGCCGCCCTTGCTGTCACCCTGCCTGCTCGGGGAGGAGGGAGAGGAGCGGGAACGGAGCAGGGAAGCTGAGCTGGGAGAAAGTCTGGGGGTGGAGGGGGGAGGTGTTTTAGTTCCATTGTTTCTCACCATCCAGCTCTATTTTAATTGGCAATAAATTAAATTAATTTTCCTCAGTTGAGTCTGTTTCTCCCATGATGCTAATTGGTAAGTGATCTCCCTGTCTTTATCTCGGCCCACAAGCTTTTTCTTCGTGTTTTCTCCCCAAGTCCTGCTGAGGAGGGGGAGTGAGAGAGCGGCTGGGTGGGTGTCTGGGAGCCAGCCAAGGGAACCCACCACATGCATAAATAAAACTCTCACTCTGTTATTTTCCATTAAGTCTCTGAAATTCCAATGGAATATAGCCTTAAAAGAAAAAAAAGAAAAAAAACCAACCCACTTGTATTTGTGGTGGCAAACAAATTTTTCAGACCTACAGAATTTGTTCTTAGCCTTGGTGGTGATGGATGGCCTGATTATGCAGAACAGTTTCTCTATTAGTCTGATGTCTGAATTCATTTAGCTGAAATTCTTTCATGGATTCTAATAAAGAATGACACAGAACTTTGTGGACTACCTTTAAAAGAGTACTCAACAGCACGTTAACAGCGGATTTTAAGTAGGAGGGAAGGTTGAAATGAAGCCTTTCTTTTCCTATTGGTTTCTGAATAGAATCCAGCCATATCTTAGAGAAGCAAAACAGCTTGAAAAGTAATGCTTTTAGAACTGAAAATTCAACTCTGAAATCACAATGTCACTTTCTGTCATAACTGCTGCTGTGGTTAGCACATTTTTCATTTAGTGGTGCCCCAATGTGTTACGCTTTGTTTGTGATATGAGAGTGATCTAGACCTGTTGTGTGATTTCAGGTTTCTGCACTGAAGAACAGATTGAAGAAAGTCTCTACAACCACTGGAGATGGTGTTGCAAGAGCGTTTCTAAAAGCACAAGCATCTTTCTTTGGGAGCTACAGAAACGCCCTGAAAATTGAACCTGTAAGTAGAAAATCAGTAGGCATAAGATGTAAATCTGCAGCTGTGGTGGGGAAAAAGCTGAGAAGAATTCCAAGTGTAGTATAACCTACTTTTACTGAGGTCAGTCTTTGGCTAACTAGCACTGAGAACAGTGTTTCAGTCCCTAAGAAAGAAAGAGGTGCAACAAGCATGTTCAATCACACATGGAGAAAACTTCTTACGGAAAGGTATGGGTGTTGCTTGTTTTTGAAGACAGATGATTAAAAAGTATAAATTAATGATTGTAGGAGGCTAGTGCAGAGTTGACCATTTTCTCTCACTGCAAAACCTGGGTATTCATTATATTATTTTTAAAGGTAGTAGAAGATACACTTTTTACACAATATACGCTTAACTGCGAAACATGCTAATTTATGGAATCACAGAGTTTAAGAGCATAATTAGTAAAGAAATTGTGCTTTTACAGAAATACGAAGAATGTCTGGAGTGGTAACTATTGACGATAAATGTTCTGTTAGGGAAATTCAATCTCTTGCTTCTGGTTCAGAGCTAATCTCTATTTAGCAATGATTAAGTGCCATCTGAGTGGGGGAAGGATTTTTCTGTACTTGATCTTGGGTTTTATTGCTTCTAGTGAGGCATCTGTTCCTGGCTTACTGCAAGTAGCTTCATGGACTTCAGTACAAATCAGTCCAGCAAATGAATGTATTTCCACATGTTTTGTGACTTTGCTACCGTGTACTTAGGGGCTTCCTTTTAAAGTGTGTACATTTTGCTGATAGACAGTTAGAGGCAAGGTAAATAGTGTGAGCAACATTCAGGTATAATTCATGAGATACGTCTCAGAAATATGGGGGATGAAAAGTACTAACTACAGAGTCATCCACAGAATATTTCCAAAATATTCTATGTTCCCTATTTCTGAAGCAGGAGAAACTAACGTGTGCAAGTCCAATGCAGTGATAAATGTCAATGTGGTGTCCACGGTCTCATTTGAACTACTGTTGTTTAGACCTATGGCTGCTTAACAAGAGGATCTCTGTGGAGGAAAAAATGTACTTTTGTCTCAATACCTTCTTATTTTATCTGCAAGCATTTGGAGGCAGAACGGAAAATTGGTGATAGCAACGGAGAGCTTGAATACCACTGGGAGATGCTTAGATGAGTTCTGAGTCTGAGTGGGGAGGTGAAATGAGCGGAGTGAGAATGAAAATTTACTAGTTGAGAAAAGGTGTTGTATTTTGCATTCTCCTGCTCTGTGGAGATTAATGAAGAGATCTGGCATGCAGACAAGTAATAAATCTAATTTTAATCATGATGTTAAAGGAAAAGACCAGAAGTTGGACTACAGGCATAGTGTTTCCTTGATGTTGAGGATGTTTCAGTAACTAAAATATCTTCAGTACTATAGTTTGTCTTACTGGCTATTTTTAAAGCCAGACTGAATTTTAAAGTCCAGTTATCACCGAGAAATAAACACCATTCCAACAATTCATAGTCAGGGTTCAAAAATTACTTCTGAAGTCAGCATGAGTCCTTCCACGTCATACAGAGGGAATCCATGTGTCGTGTGTGGAAAAAATAAATTGTGTTGAGTTGTGTATGTACATCTGGGTGCAAGTATTGGGCTTTTAAAGTGTCTAAAGTGAAATAGTGGGAGGTATTTAAAATGTTGTCCATATCAGTAACAAAAACGAAAGCAGTGAGGCACTCTGGCTGCAAGCCTCCTTTATCCATGTCGGGGAGACACTGACTTCCCTTCATCCACGCAGGCTTCCTTGTTCTCCGATGCTCCTCCCAGTAGTTGCCAAGCAACTCTGGAAATATTGGTGTATGCTTTGCCTGGATGTGTGTGTGAGATTAACTAGTTAAGGGATTTATGAAGAAAAATAAAAATTTAAATTGCTTTTCTGGAAATACCATCTGGTATTTTGAAGGCTGAATGTTAAAGATGAACAGTCGAAATCAGTTGACAGTGGCACACCCCTAGAACGTGCAACTTTGAGGGACAGTAAACCTGAGGAAGTAGAAGAAATTGTTTGGTCTGCTTATCATTCCATCAAAGAAAACTTAAAAACATAATTGTACAAATATGTCATAAAATCCAATTTTATTTTCTTAATGAAAATTTTCAGGGCTTTCTTTCCCAAGTCCTTTTGTAAATGAGAAATTTAATTTCTGATTATATATTTCAGTACTAAGATTTAGCTAAAGAAAATTGGCAAGTGTTTCCTGTGCTGAACATGTCAGTCAAATGACCTGCATTCTGTTTCCAGTTGGGCCACAGACATCCTGTGAGGTATTGGGCAGGTCATACAACTACTGTATGCTTCACTGGCCTTTTAGAATACACCAACAGTAAATACAGTTACTGAAAGACTCATCTTACTCTTAGGAACATCGCACTTAAAAATTATTTCAAAACTCTTGGAAAACCTGATCTGAAGAAGATGCAGCAAAACTCCAGACAATAGTGTGTAAAGAGTAAGACAATTAGGAAATGTACGTGCTAAGTTCACAAAAGAAAATGGGATTGTAATTTAATAACAAAGCATCATAATTGGCAATTAGTAAGGCATCTTGCAATTTAAAGCCCTGTGTTTCTCTGTTGTGCTGTACTTCGAATGCTGCTCTTGAAATAGGCTTCTGTACTCTCAGGTAATTCCATCTTCTACACAGCACTTATGTTCATTGTTATTTCCTGTCAGCTGATTAGCTCAGTTTGCTGAGTTTGTGGATTATATGCTAACAGGTCTTCAAAGTGGTCACGATACGCATATTCTCGTATGAATATGGAATGACGGGTTTCTTGTTGAATAGTGGAAGAATATTAAAGTGTCTGCAGCAACTCTTTGATTTCTCTTCATTGATATATCAGAATCCACAAAGACCACAGTGGCTGTCATAATTTGCTTTAAAATTTTGATGTCTCTTTGGAAAAAATTATTTTGAAACTTACTGGTGTAACGGTTGCAAATGAAATAATTTTGATGTGTCCGAGACAAGTAGGAAAGCAAATGGAAGAAATAGCTTCTAGGAAGAGAATATACTTTCAAGTGCCTCCATTGTGGGTTTTTTCTCTTATCACCTTCACGTGGGGCATAAGCAATACTGAACATGATGGGGTTCTTTGCATTTGATATCCCATAACTCAAGAAATCTGACTGTTCATTGAAAATCATTGATAATTAGGAAAGTCAAAGCAGCAGCAGCTTTTCTTCCTTTCATAGTTTTTGTCTCATAAGGCAATTTAATTTCATAGACCATCTCATCTGGTACGAGTTGACTTTTCGGGATAAATGATATGAAGCTATCTTTCATTATTCTGTGTAGGCCCAGAATGTGTCACAGAACAGACTTCAAATTCACATTATACTTAAGCATAGTAAGAGCTCTTATTCTGTTTCAGCTTTTACTCTAGAGATATAAGGTTATGTAAGGAATATAGAAGCCAGAACACGGACAATGACTGAGTTACTGTTGCCATGAACTTTCTGAAGCCTTCAGTGCCTACAGCTTTTGGGTGAAAAAACATATCCAGATTATACAGTCTGCAAGTCTAATCATAAGGTTGATGTAACAAAATAACTGATTCAGTGATGTCTCCTACTGTGTATATGTGTTTTCTGTAGTGTGTTAAGCCGGGTTTTGAGTATGGAAGAATATCTGTTACATGTGATGCACTCACGGTCTCCACAAACCTCTGTTGCTATGAAGTACAGTAAAATACATTAGAAGTAGAGTGTTTACCTGGCTGTATTGAGGCAGCCTGCTACCTTTATGAGTATTATTTAAGTTTTAACAGTGACGCTAACGTGAGCATTTTGTTCACTTGAATTACTTTTTTCTAAATTCCTCATTTTTTGCTGTTTGTAGAGGTAAAGTTTTTATCCTCTTCTAAATATTTAATTCACAAAATTAGGGCATCTTCAACAGAAACAGCTGTATAATTCCTGCGTGTGTGTAATTCCTACGTGTGTGTAAAGGTGGTTTGTAGGACTTAATAGTTATGTGTGTACTGGTAACAGAGCGGGGAAAGGAGGCTCACGCTTTCTGCGTCAAAAGTATTGACGGTGCACTTTCTTCTGCTGACACCTAGTGGTTAGCGACAACATTTAATTGGCTTTATTTCACAATCTTTGTTAAGAAGCAAACATCCTAACACCTGTGAATAAAGGTAAGCTCACGGTGTGGGCTGGCCAAAAGCAGCAGCACGTAGGGTATGTGAGGATCCGATGTGCTGGGTTTGGGGTGTTAGTACAGTTACCCTAAGCCATCTGGGTGCGTTTTCGCCTAGCTTGGGTACGATGGTTTAATAGCAGGCTCCAAGTTTGACGTACAGTCTTCTCAAATGGCAAGCTTTCTGTCTGTTCTCTGGATACGTGGGCACTGCAGTGAGCTTTGCAAAGGGAGTTGTGTATGCTTAATACAACATTTTCTAGCTTGACAGATTTGAAAAGCCTGTTTATTTGCACTTTGCTTTAAAATCTGTATATTCTGAATGGGTATTTCTAGTTCCATGTCTTGGTTCCTTTTGTCTGAATTTCACTGCTATAAATACACTGTAAGGTGAACATTTCTGTGCTGCTTTTTCTTTTGCAGTGGTGCTACTTTTTGTATGGATAATTAAGGGGGGTTAACTTTGACATTCTTAACCCAAATAGATATCAGTATCTAAGCACTCCTGCAAGTAGTCTTCTCTTTAACTTTGCTGTTTTGCACTGATAATTTCTTATATGCAGGCACTGTAAAATTTGGTCTCCCTTTCCGTGGTGTACTGAGGTGAGAGGTCTATGTCATGCAATGTGAGCTCAAGTGCCTGTTTTATTTCTGATACACCACTGAAGAGACATGTCAGTGCATGGGACTCTGGTGTTTTTTGGATTTGAATCGAGATGCCCTGGTTTGTTTTTATAAGGCTTATTTAGTTATTTTAATGTATTAATCTAGTTATTAGGGTGATGAACTCTGCATTCTTGTAAAATTGTTTCTTTTGTGTGTTGTCATATTACCTAAATCTA